TGTTCTGGGTCCTGTGGGTCAAGTGTTGAGGAGCATGGCCTTCAGCCCTTTTTTTTCCAGCGGCCTAACTTGGTGACTCCCATCCACCCGGTTCCTTAGCTTTTTAGCCTTTTAGTGTTTAGTGGTTGGAGTTCCATTTAACCCGCTAATAAATGGACTTTGAGCGGGGGATCGGTTTGGACAGCCCAGTTCAGAACCGCTGTAGTGGGCTGCCAAACTCTTCCGCTTGAACGTTGCCTGGCCACCCTGCCAGCGGCTTGCCTCACTCACACACATGATGGACATGTGAAATGCCCGGAGAGCGACTGGCTGAATAGCATAGATCGATTCTTATGTGAGCGACCTGTCTGTCACTAAGCAGCCTTGGACAATAAGGGACCTAGGAACAACATGCAAGGCCTGGCAGAGGCATGCATGCAGGAGCGCCTTGATATGGGAGCTGCATATTCAAAGAAGCCAAGAGGCAACCCCCTCAATAACTTAAGATGGCCACAATTTGCTCCATAATCTATGTAGGTGGGTGTATGGTGAGCTCACCATGAAGAAGGTCCTTGAGTTGGGGATCCAGATCTTCGTTCGGCTGTTGGAACTAGACTAAGATTTGTAGAACATTTTTGCTGGGTCCCCCAGGATCGTGCCCTTCTTGTTTACCCTTTTGTGGGGCAGGGTTCCCCTACTAAAGTAGACTACAGAAAGGAGGGTACCCTTATTCTAACCTCTCTACTCGAGGTAGTTAGGATCATGTTTGGTTCGCCAGTGCGCTAAGGCCTGGAATCCTCATCCGATCCAGGGCTTGGCGCTCGGATTGATGGCGTTCGAAGGGAGCCCCGTGGTCAAAGACATTTGGCCGTGGTTCAAAACCAATGGGATCCCATTTTGGGATAGGTGAATTCACCACCCATTTTTGAACCTATTTCAGTGGGAATTGTGATGCTCACTGGAGGTACGGGGTTTTGACCCATGGCCGTTTCGGAAACAATCATATGTCAACATTCTACGGCTTTCTTGCAACTCGAGTGCGCAAAAAATCCGTTCCGAGCCAAGCGTTTCTTGCAACTTGAGTGCCACGAGTGAGTTGTTGGGTTTTGAGATTCCCATGCCAGGCACTCTTGATGGCGCAAATGTCTTTCGACCGTTCCAAAGTCAGACAAAAGGCAGACGGAGCCAGGCTCCGTTCGTCCATTTGGCAGATGGCAAGATCCAGGCGTTCGGCTTGGGGTCACGAAGTGCTGGCCAGTTGGAAAGCAAGCAGGTCCCAGAACCAGCCTGGTTTTTTTTCAGTAGTGCCCCGTCTCACCAACTTTTTTTGGGGAGGGTTCCCCTACGAAAATAGACTACCGAACAAAGCTGGTACCCTGATTCTAACCTTTTTATTGGAGGACCTAGCAGCCATTGACTCTTAGGCTGGACTCCCAACTTCATCCCCAAGGTCACGGAGGCGTGCGTAAAGTCGAGTCGAGCATGTCAGGGCAAACGTGGTGGGGAGATTGGATGTGGCTGTGAGGAATGTGTGTAGGCGAGCAAGGGGATATACATTTGTTTTGCTGAACATGTGACAGATGTTTGCATTTTGCAACACCGGAGGCACAAGGAAGGACTCTTATCCATTCCACTGACTCGAATTGTCCCAAACATGATGTTGTGGTGTGCGTCCCGCAGAGTGCAGCCAGTTTGAACAAGATCCCTTCTTGACAAAGTGTGGAGGGGGGACTGCATCCCTTTGTGCATGAAAACTGGGTGCGGGAAAAAAAAAGCCCATGGCTTTCAAAATCCCAAGGACATTTTGGGACACCAACTATTTTTTGGTACTTTTCTGGGTGGGCTGGGTTGGTTGGTTGGTTGGTTGGCTGGCTGACTGGCTGGCTGGTTGGTTGGTTGGTTGGTTGGCTTCCCGCATCCCCGGCTTCACCAGCCTCAATTGGGAGTTGCTGGGGGCTGGTTTAAGTTAAGAGGGGTTGAGGCTGGCTTAGATCTTCATTAGGGTGGGTCTTGTGGTGGTTTGGGTTGATTTAGGGCTGACATCCAGCCTGCTTTTGGGCGGGTTTAGGGTTCACTTTGGGTGATTTGGGGTTGGCTTGGCGCGCATTTGTGTTGGAGACAACCCTAAACCTGCCCAAGAGCAGCCCCCCCCAAACCACCACAAGACCCACCCTAATGAAGATCTGAGCCAGCCTCAACCCCCCTTAACTTAAAAGAGCCCCCAGCAACTCCCAATTGAGGCTGGTGAAGCCGGGGATGTTGCCAGTCCTGCAGAAAACCAGCCCTAGGCAAAAAACCGCCCAGGAAGAAAAAACAAAACACAGGTCACCTCTCCCTTTTTTGTTTGTGTGTTGGACTCAAGGGCGCCATTTGGTGCCAGTTTGGAGGTTCCCGGCAAGTCCCCGCCCAGAAAACTATCATGGGACGGGCATGGGTTGTGACCTGTGCAGCACGAAGTAGGTGTGCTAGGTGTGTCTTTGCAAAAAGGGTTCCCCCAAAGAAACAAATGGCTACTCCCCCCCCCCCAAAAAAACAGAAAGAATTCAATCCACTCCGAAAGGGGTACCCTCACAACGACAACCAACAGGACGGACTGGACTTGAACATCCATGACGAGATCCTGGTGGTGGACCCTCAGCAGGCCCGGCATCGGACAGGGCGGAAAAGCTGCCGATTTGTTTCGGGCCGGTTGGAGTTGATTTGGACTGGAACCTGTTCTACTGGCATTGAAAGAGTTTAGACAACCATTGCAGGCGTTTTTGTTTGCTTTTTTTCCCCCCCCGAAACAAGCAAGTGGTCCCAACAGTACTGTTTGGGATCCGGACGGGTAAAACAAGTTGCTGGGAGGGTTCTCAGCAAGTTCCAAGCCACAGTTGCCCACTGCCGCCGAACTGATGTGTCATATGGGTATGAATTCTATTTGTGACGCATTGGACATCATGTATCATGAGGATTTATGTCCACCACCCCCTTTTCGAGAAAAAAAAGGTTGAAATTTCTACCATGCTCCAGAATCGTTTTGTCGAGGGGACGGCGGTGCAACTTCCGGATACGTGCGCTGGGTGCAGTGAGGTAGGCTTCAAGGCCAGTCCGAGACACCGGCGGTGCCTTTGGATTTCAGCACAGGTAAATTTGATAAACACATATATATATATATATATATATATTAATATATATACATATATATATATTAATATATATATATATATATATATACCATAATATATATATATATATATCAATATATATATATATATATACATATATATATATATATAATTATGTACATATATATATATGTATCATGACAATGCATGTATACAACCAGGCGTGCTTTTGGATGTTTAGGATGTTTTGTTTGCGACTAGCCAATACCCAGGACCCAAACAGTGTCACCACAACTAGACGTCCTTAATTAATAACCCTGTTGAGTCGATGGTGATGTGTTTTGCATTCATGTCATCATTTGTCACGCATTCATGTTGTCCTTTGTCATACATTCATGTTACCCTGTGTCACGTTTGCTGGCCCCCCCGCGGCCAAACAAAGCATTCTGTTTAAAGTAATTTAGGAGCTTGTTTTGTCAGCAATGTGGGCCGAGATCCGCGTCGCAGATCCCTTGTGTTGATTCAGGGATCTTTTGATGGAGATGCGGAGTGGGATTGGTTGTTTGGCAGTTTATGTACCACGTGTTCCCTCGCAACTTGTCAAATTTAGATTTTCCCTTTGGTTTCCCTCTAAAGAAAAAGGGCCCCCTCAAAAGACACACCCCTGTGTGGACATGAAGTTTAATGGGAACACCCATCAAACTGGTTCGTGGACATATCTTAAGTGATGTCCACTGGAGGATACCCCAAAAACACACACCCACACACCTGTGTGTTTGTGTTTCTTTGTTTGTTTGTGTGTGTGTGTCTTTGTGTCTTTGTGTTGTGGTGTCTTTGTGTGTTTGCTTGACATCTGTGTGCGTATGTTTTTGTTTCAGTCAAAAACACACAAAACACAGACAAACACACCAAAACAAAAAACATAACACAAACAACAAAACAAACACCCAAAAAAACAACAAACAACCCAACAACAAAAGCAAAAAACAAAAATCAACTAAGTAGCCTTTGCTGGGGCAGGGTGAAAGCCAACAGCTTCCGCGACAGGCCATGAAGACCTCCATGGAGCTGGCCAGGTGCGGCTTCGGTCGGGATCCATCCCTTCGGGGGCGAAAACACGCGGAAACACCAGATTCCTGCTTGGGGCAAAGCGAAAACACGAGGGACACCGGGAAAAATGGGTTTTTGGGAGGTCCAAAAAGAGGGGGGGTGGCGAAAACACAAGGAAAGCCGGGAAATCCGGATTTTTGGGAGGTCCGAATCCTACCAAAAAACATGGTGTTTGAGGCTCGGTGCCCCTTTTGGGTGCGCAACTTAAAGGGGACCACGATTGGTGTCCCTAAAATGGGGAAACTGTTTCCGCTGGCTTCCTTTTGAAGTGACCCCAAAACGGGTACCCTCACAAACGCCAGTACGTATATATATATATATATATATGTATGATTTTTGTTCCCCTTAGCCAGTTCAAACATCACCTTTTGGTTGTCACTGGATGAGTCCCTGTATTTCCCCTAGGGCTTGAGGCATCATCTTATGGGTTGCCATTTTGAGTGAGGAAAACTTGGCTTGAACCGGTTGCAGCCGGTGCGCCCGGTTGAGCGTTGAACATCTAGGTCCCCCAGTAGTGCCCTTTTACCCTTTTTGGGGAGGGTTCCCCTACTAAAATAGACTACAAAAAAGAATCGGGCACCCTTTTTCCAACCTCTCTACTGGAGGACTTAGACACGATCCATCTTAATATTCCATGGTCAGGGACTTGCGGGACCCTCCCTCCCACGTTGCCATGGCACCGATCGACAGGGAAATGGTCCCTTGAGGAAATTGATCTTCCAGGTACCCGCTATGTTTGTGAAGGCTATATTTTCTTGCAACACAATTGTGGCTCAAAATCAAGCAGGAGGGGCCAACCGAGGGTTTTGGTCCATTCCACTTACCAGGGCAAGCCATTTTGGTACCGGATTTTGAGGCACAGCCACATGACTCACGGATTTGTGCATGTCCATTGCAGGCCCTGGTGGCTCCGGGCTTTTTGGGAAGCTCCCGGTGCGGAGACTTGATTCATACATCGCCAGCTTGCTCCAAGCGGCAACTCAGCAAAGGTCGGGCAAAGTCTACATCCGTTTGCAGCCAGCCATGGTATTCATCATCTCTGCTGTGGCCATTGAGTCATTGACATGTCCAGAGTGATCGAGATCTCTCCGAAACTGTGACATGGACCCAGAGGCTGCAGACCGTGTGCAAGAGATCTATCAGACTTCCCAAGAGCGCTAAGTGGTATGCGACGAGTTCCTGCTGCCACATGCTACCACTCGAAGACACAACCATAAATGCATGCGCGTGTCTGTGTGTGTGTGTTGTGTGTGGCTGCGCGTCACAGAGTTTGCAATGTATGGCTTTAGATGCAGCGGGCCAACATGTAACAATGTGAGGCCTTTGTGACATGTTGAATCTTGAGCTGGGGCGATCTTTACTTGGGTATGCAGGTTTTGATGACGACGTTGTGTTTAAAAAAAAGCGTTTAGTTCGTGGGAGTCTGCGTGCACTGTACAGCACCAGCTCTGCACTGAAGCCAGCCATGGCTCGGTATTTTGCCGACCCCCCCCACCCCAATGATCGACCCCAACAATCACCTTTTCTCTAAGTGGCTTGCATTGGCGAAGGAATTTGAACCCCTTTCTCCGCTTCAAGCCTAATTGGAAGATAATTACAGAGTTTAAGTTACCAATCGAAACCACCACTCACAGCCACAGTGAAAAGCGAATTCCACAAGAGCGGTTCCTGTAGAATTGGGAAGCCCTGACAGGTTCATGAGTTTCCTTTTGGTGTTGCTTTGGAACCCCAAGTTTGTGGAGCTTATTTTTTTGGAAAAGATCAGTTGGGTAACAGGAAGTCAGGTAAGTCTGACTTCGAACTCCAGTGTCTTCCCCACAACAAAACACATAAATAGGGAAAGATGCTCAACCCCCAGAATTGGTCCCGACGCTCTTTTTTGGACTTGGTGCCCTTCGGGGCTTGCTATGGAATCAAAGACTTGGGCATGGCGCCTCGCTGTTTTGTGTTTCCGAACTCATGTCATGTTTCTTTCCCGGCTTTTCGCGGTGTTCACCAGGTCTCAAAGGAACCACCCAGGTTTTCTCCAGGATTTCGCCTAAGGACAACTCAAGGTTTTGCCCAGGTTTTCTCAGGTTTTGTCCAGATTCCCAAGGTTTTCCTCAGGTGTCCCCCAGGTGTTCACGAAGTGTGTGAGGAAAGCATCTTCCGTCTTCCACGAGTTTTCACGAGGTTTCCCCCCCGGCCCCCCACGTTTTCCTCAGCTGGCTCACCACTACCTGAGCTGGAGACGTCGAACGCGGGCAGGTTCCTCCCAGGTTTCCCCCAAGGTTTCCCCTGGTTTTTCGCAGTTTTTTGTTTTCACGTGCCCTGTCATTCGATTGAATGTAAACCTCTTACTGAGAACCAACACCAAGAGCTCACCTTCAATGCGCAGGTGCCGAAGGCCCCCAGATCCCAGGTGTTCCCCCCAAATGATGCACGTGTTTCTGGTTTATCCCGGTGGCTTCCCCCCGATGTGTTCGCGGCTTTCCCCGGTCCAAGGACACCCCCCACGTTTCGGGGCTTGGCCATGGACGGGTCGAGCCAGGCTCGAGGGCATCTTCTGCGGCACCTCCGGGGGTGCCACGGTGGCCACGGCCCTGGAGGCGCGGGTCCGAGCTTCGGAGAGTTGCGGTGGGTCTTTAGCAGGGCGCCTTAAAAGATCTCCATTTTGCAACCATTTGAAACATGGCTTTTTCCACCAAAATAAGGGGAAACCACCATTTGCAAGGCAATGTTCAGGTGTATAATGCAAGGATCCCTGTTTAGATGGACACTTTTGGAGGGAACACCCCCCTAATAGTGGGACGGGTTTATTAATCCTGGGTCGACATTAGATGGAAACACACCAATCTTCAACCAATGTCAGGGGAAGGCCAATCTTCAACCATCTTCAGATGGAAAACACTGTACCATCGAACTCAATGCTAGGGGAAACCAATCAAGTAGTTTTTAGCTCGGAACCCGAGCCAACATGTTGTTGTTTTGTTTGTGTGTTTTCCCTTGTGGTTTCAGAACCCGGGCCAAACATGCCCCCTTTGGTTTGGAAAACAAAGGTTGTGTTTTCTGAACCTTTTAGTTGTTTTGGGTTGCTTTCCGTTTAACCCTTTGCCATCCAACTCAATATTAGGGGAAACCAATTTTCAACCAACCATCTTTCAATGTTAGGGAAACAAATTATATTCAATGTTGGAACCCGAGCAACCGTGTGTGTTTTTTGTCTATGTTGTCCCTTTTGGTTTCCTTTGCCATCCAAAAGTGGCCCCAGAAATAATGTCATTTTAAGGGTTGTGTCTTCAACCAATCTTCAACTGGTTGGTTTTGTTTATTTGTGGTGTCCCTTTGCCATCCAAAGAGGGTCCCTAAAAAGAATGCCTTGTTTCTAGCGGAACTGAACAACTGAGCAATACTGTCTGGAACCTCATTTTTTGGTTGGGTTCCCTTTGCTTTCCCTTTGCCATCCAGAAAAAGGGCCCCAAAAAAAACGTTTTCGGTTTGGCTTCCGTTTGCATGGGTTTCGCATGGCCAGGTGGCCAGCAAAGCGTCCGGGCCCACAGCTTTTCGTGCATGGTTGTTTTCAATATGGGCTCGTTTTTTTTGGAGGGCTACCCCCCTTTTTTGTGGCTTTAAAGAAGGGAAGCCAAAAAGGAAGAGCATTTTGGTGGGACGGGGGCTCCCGTAAGAAACACACGAGCCATATGTCAAAGTCGACTCCAAGCGGCATCGAAGTCAATGGCGCAGGCTTTCGAAGTGGCGCCACTCTGGAAGGCTAGATGCAATTGGACAGCTGCGTATGAGTTGCTCGTTTCGCATCTGCTGCGCTTTGGATTGATCCTATGCGAGCTGAATCTATAGCTTGTTCAAGGTCTGGTTGTGTGCATCGTTGCGCATGTGGTTGCGTCAGGCATGTCGCGACAGGAGTAGTGGATCCTGTTTTCTCGTGGAACCGGGGGAAGTCTTTGTGGATTGCGAAAGAAGGAGATGAACTGCACGATTTTTGGAGGTCTCATGTTAAAACAAGACTAGGTCCCCCAGTAGTGCCCTTTTATCTTTTTTTTGGGGAGGGTTCCCCTACTAAAATAGACTACAGCAGACTACAGAATAAAGTTGGTACCATCTTATTCTAACCTCTCTACTGGAGGCTCTAGAAAGCCAGAGGTATTTCACGGGTATTTCTCCAAAATCGGGGTTCGAGACAGGTGGGTTTCCTTTTGATTTCCCTTGAGCTACCAACATTCAAAGGGGTCCGACCCAACGGAGCAGCGACTCTGGCTAAAGGGGCCGATACATTTGGGTCAACATTAATTAAACCACCAGGGGACCACAGATTATAGTCCATGTTTCCACCTACCAGGGTTGAATTTGGGGTACTTATTTTTGACCCGCAGCCATTTCAACCCTGGTAAGTGATTGAAATATATATATATATATTACAGTTGTGTTCGCTATGGGCATTGTCTAAGCCTTTGAACCAATGGTTTCCAGCGGGCATTTCGGATCACAACTTGGGGACCTTCCCCTGGGCTGTTCAATCTCAATCCATAGGCCAGATGGTAGTGGCTTCCCAAGTGGTGGGGATTAGAGGCGGAAGTGGCTGGCTCGGTGCAACACAGCCATCTCCAGATAGCCCGAAAGGGTTCTGGGAGGTTTGGTGAAATACGAGAGCAATGTCCAAGAAGACCACCTCATTGATTCAGGCCACAAGAATCACCCCAGGCTTCCAAAAAAGGCAAGTTGCAGGCCCTCACCCAACGCAGGACCCCCGGTTCCAGTTCGTTCGCCGAAGAAAAAAAAGCGCAAAACAATATACATATATATATATAAATATTAAACAAACAAAAACAAAAAACGAGAAAACAGGCGAACACCGAAGCTCCGAGGCCTGCGGGCAGCACTTTGCTGGCGATGGTCCCTGACACCGCAGAGCCCGGGGCCGAGAGACACGGGGCGCTGAAAGGCGTGGAGCCTATGGGTTGGATGGACAAAGGAAACCAGAAGGAAGGAGGTAGAATACAGTAATATATATATATATATATACATACATATACGTATATATATATATGTATATGTATACACGCGTAAACACACATCATATATATATATATATATGGTGCGCCCCCCAATGTCGACCTTTTTGTTTGTCTTCAACTGTGATGCCCACTACATCTGACTCTGCAAAAGGGAAAAGACTCTCCAACTCAGCCGCTTGAACCGTTTAAACCGGTTGAACCCTTTCTCAAAGGAAAGGTTTGGGCCCAAACCCGTTTGAACCGTTTAAACCGTTAAAACCCTTTCTGAGAGAAAAGGCCTGGACCCTTTAAACCGTTTAAACCAGCTAAACCCTCTCTCAGAGGAAAGGTGTGGGCCCAAAACCGTTTGAACCGTTTGAACCGTTTAAACCGAACCCGGGGGGGAGGGGGGGAGCCTTTCATTTGAGAGAGGGTTTAAACGGTTTGCACCGTTTTCACGGTTTTGGTCAGAACCCTGGAAGGGGGGCTTTCCCCTGAGAAAGGGTTGAAACGGTTTAAATGGCTTGAACGGTTTTGGGGCCCTGGCTGTTGGGTGGGGCACCTTTTCTCTGAGAAAGGGCTGAAACGGTCAAAACGGTTTTGAAAGGTTTGAAACGGTTTGGGGACCAAAGCAGGCGGGGGGGGGGGGGGGCAGGGCTTTCCTCTCAGAAAGGGGGAAAACGGTGCAAACGGTTTGGGGCCCTGACTCTCTTCGTTGCTGCTATTTTTGGCATCTTCTGATTAAACCTCAGCTTAAAAATAGGACAGAGGTAGATCCAAACCGACTAAATTTTCAGTCGGGCCTGGATTCAAGATTCGCTGGAAAAGTGTTTAACCTGAAGCTTGCAGATTGTCGTTGGACATGTGCTCTTATTTCGCTGCTTTCCCAAGCAGAAAACACTTCAATTATATACCTATGAATTCTGAAAAAGTAATCTAAATAGGATATCCTTTCAAAGACTACTTTTAATTTGAATGTTTATGTCAAACTTGACTTCAAAGGCGGTCTCCTTTTGTTCGTTTGAACTTAATAAGGACATAGTAGGATGTTCCAGTTCAAAAAGATTCTAAATAGGCCTTCCTGTTCAAAGCAGATTTGTAATAAATCCCATTGAAGCCCTTCTTTTAAGACAAGCCTATCTGAAATATATTAAAACCAGACACTTTAATAGAATTCTGGCATTATGATCAAACGATAAAATTGAAAACGTATCAAAGCATAGTTTCGATTCTTTCAATTTAGATTCTACAGGGGGTCTCTTTTTCTAACATCGTGTATTCAATTCTCTACACAAATTGAGTGGAGTTTAGTCAGGAATATTCCTAGTACGATTACTAGTTTAAAGCGAATCTAAATAGGTGCCCTTTCAAAACCGAATTTCAAATTGGAATCTACATCATGTCCTAGTTGTATTGTTTGATCAGACCTTAAATAGAACTTAATAAGGACATGTGTCTAGTAGAGTGTCTAGTTCTACCGAGAATTTCAGTTGTTTGTTAAAATAATATTCTTAATGGGAACTCTTATTTGAAGCGGGTCTCTTTTTCTAGGATTGAGATGTCCAATGAATTTAGACAAACATTAACAGTGAAACATCCTAATAACATGTCTAGTCTTAAAGACGATGCAAATGGGATTTACTGTTGGAAGAATATGTTCACTGTAATGCTTACTTCAAATTAGATTTGAAAGAGGACGTTCTTTCCCAGGATGTTTCCCAGTTCTGATTTGAATCTAAATAGAATTAAACAAGGCACCTTGTTCTGCTGCTTTCCTCCAAAGCACAAAAACGGCATAAACCACCGCAAATAGCGTTGAAAGCAACACAAAGGTCGACATTTGGGGGGGGGTAGTATATATATATATATACATATATATACATATATATATATATATATACGTACATATATATATATATACATATATATATATATACATATCCACACAGAAACCACAAAACAACAAATCCGGACCCGGCCAAGGTCCCAAGAGATGGGGACAGCGAAAAGGATGGAGTTTGAGCCCTGCAAGTTTGAGGTGAATGATTTCTGTTTTGGAAAAGTAGATGAACATAACTTGGGGTCTCCCCCCAACCTCCTGCACCATATGCCCGATTGTCGAAGAAATCCATGGTGCGATTCATATGCCAGGCAGATGTGGCAGATGTGGATACATGGCGGTAGGCTCTTTGACTACTTGGGAAGTTGATCTTAGCCCAGCGGTCTTGAGTCCATGAGATGCTGGCGATGCCCATCCGCAGTTCATGCCCTCAGGCCCCAAGGTGCAGCCTCGTGCCCGAGGCGCTATCTGTCCACGCCCCTCTTCGGCGAGATTGACGCGGAGATGAACGAGGCGAGAGCCGAAGTGGCCCCATCGTCCCAGCGCGGTGAGAATGGGAACGCCATAGCCGACATCTCCAGCCAACGGGAACTGAGGCAACATCCACTCAATGAGTTGCTTTGTGGCAGACACCGGGCATGATTAGGATGGTATAAATTGGATCATTCATATCAATCGGTTTCTGGCCAGCAAGTTATGGACAAGGTAATAACGCAGATTGAATGGGGATGTAGGAGCAAGTCATTCTGGCACCATGAGTTGCAGGCTGGTTTGTTTCATGTGGAAAATGTCCGACGCTGCTTCAGCTGCTTCGGTCTGGGCACGAGATCAGACCTTCAACCTGGGTCATGATTTTGACATTGGGAGTGTATCAGAGTCAGAGAGTGATATTTCAGTTTTTATGTCGTTTCCCTCATTTCTGGACGTGACTTTGACGGTACCACCGCTGGCCAGTTCACTCAATGTCCAAGGCCTGCATGCAACCTGGCACCAACAGCTTTCGGATCCCAACACGCCCCGTGAGGTGGTCTCGCCAATCCTCGCACAGTTCCGATGTTTCTTCGTCCTTCCGTCCTTGTAGACTGGACAGCATAAACACAGTATGAAGCACTGTTACCACCTCCTTCCACTTACTTCAAGATAAGGCCATGTGCATCCTGAACAAGGAAGGGCAATCTCAAGGCAGCTCAATCCGAGCTAATCTGAGACAACCTTCGCTAGGAGTCATGCGCAGGTCGCAGACAAGCATGCTTCACGTGGATGCGCGGTATATGCACAATGCTGCCTAGGATAGCTAATAGTTTGGTAGGGGCAGAAGCTGCCGTGGAAGAAGCAAGCTCAAAAGGCTGTGTGAGGCACTGCATGTTTTTTATTCGAGCTGGCAGCACAGATGAGAAGCTCCCTTTTGGCCGTGATCACTAACTAGTTGCAGGGTATACAAGCGATTTCCGCTAATACAGGTTCTATATGACAACCCCGGCCCAAAAAAGCCTGATGGATTGATTTCTCAAGGTTCCCCGCTCATGAATGCTTCCGAGGCTTGCCATCTTCTTCAAATTCGTTTCCCACGGGTCCCCACGTTAGTTTGGCCAAAAATTGATGAGCGCGCCACTGGCTTAGATGGGTTCTGCCCATTTCATCAAATCCCCTTATAGATTCATGTACCAGTTCGAAACCCATCTATTTCCAGGCCAAGTCGGTTTTTACGCCACCTGTGGTGCCGATTCCTTGGTTTGGCGGAAACTGCCCCCCCGCGGCCTCGCTCGCAGGCGGAGCTGGAGCTCTCCAAGTCGACTCCCAGCGCCGGGAGCACCAGTTCTCCCGAGCGGTGGGGGGTGGAAGACTCCAAAGGCTCCGAACAGTAGCGGCTCGTGTTGTTTAAACCAAAAAAACATCCGGCTCCGACAAGTTGTGGCTTGTCTTTTTGTTGGTATTATTCTTAAGAAACACAACACCAAAACAACATTCCGCAAGCTGCAACACGAAACACCCAAAATTGGCTTTCGAGGTTGAGCCCCATATAAACTCAATTGAAAAGACAGCCCATGTCTAAGGGCTTAAGGTTCATGGTGTCCAGAAGCTGGAGTCAAAATTATTTTGACCGGCTGTTTCCCCTCCTGAATTGATGTCGGACAAAGAGTTGCCTTCCGAGCGCGAGCTGTTTTCTACTTGTAAGGGAATGGCTATTCTCGGGTGGAAATATGTCAACAACTGACACATGACCTGGCTATGTGGGTGGGATGTTTCCTTGGGGCGTTTGGACATTTGGGAATTTCGATCCGAGTTTCGAAGGTAGCGCACCCAATTAGGGAGGTGACGATCCAGCATCGCTGCCAGCCCTAGGGAGGTCGTGGGTTCGAGTCCCATCGGTGCCTGCTTTGTGGTCTTCTTGTTGTCTCTGCATGGCTTTTAACGAGCATCGGAATCTTTGAGATGGCAGCTCTCTCTCTCTCTCTCATCATTTGTTGCGTGCGGGGAGAAAGGCTGGGAAGCCAAAAGGGCGCCACAAGCAAATCAATCCTAGATGGGGGTCGATCAATATTCCTGCCCAAACGACCATGAGTAACTGTTTCATGCTTTTGGCGGTTTTCCCCAATGGTCATCCTATGTAAACGGCCTTTTGATCAACCCCCACATCTTTGTTTGTCCATTTGCGTTTGCATTGGGTTCCGTGCTCTGTGACCTCGAGACGTCCAAATTCGAGGCCTTCATTTGACCAGATGCAATCCACGTCCCAATGCTTCCAGTTGCCAAGACCAGGGAAAACAAGCCTGGTTTTCGAAATCCCGGGAATCGACTAGCAAGTGGAAGTTTGACTTGATCTGAATAGTATCCAAAATCAACCAGGGGAATGATGGAGCTACTTCCAAAGGAATCCTCGAGCGCTAGCCGTTTGATCGGATCTATACCCCGAATTCAAGTACAAATCCTGCGAGGCTGCACCTCCCGTGTAATTCGAATGATCTGATGAGACTCGCTTTGGAAAACGCGCAGCTGATCTCGTTGAAACGACGTGTCCACGCTCGATCCAGTTGGCACAACCCAAACTATATCTACGTCATATCTACGTCATGTTCCACCCAAACTAAACCTTCACACCATCGGGGTTTGCGTGCTGTGACCTGTTTTACGCTATTTGCGGTCTATATCAGTGTAATTACCTTATTTTGTTTAAAATAATTTGAATAAATCAGTTTAATTATATATGCAACTTATGAAGGTCATTCTCATTCTCCACCTAAGTCGCACCAGTTACTTCCCTTGGGCCGGTTTTCCCGTGAAAGTGTGCAAAGGTCAAAGTGTTTCCCCCACCAAGGGAATCAGCTAGGAAAATGGCTGGGCAGCTTAGAGTAAGGTAAACCTTACTTGGTGGTTTGGGTTGGTGGTTTGGTGATCAATACGTTTTTTTCGCCATCTCTCTGCCAAAACCAGGGGCTTCAAATCATCCCAGCCAATCCAAAGCAATTGGGTGTCCTTTTGATCGGTTAGTTTGGTTAAGAACAGAAGGGTTCCACTGGTTTAGATGGGTTTGATGCCATCCACTTGCCAGTTGGAAACCCATCGATTTCTCTCCAAAAGGACACCTATGTGAAGGCTACTAAAAGCCGGCAACCAAAAGGAGACCAAGCGCGTTTCACCCCGTCCCGAGCTCCCCGACCTACCGACCTTCCGCAGGCGCAGTGAGATCTCGATCCGACAGGCGAGCGGCAGGGAAGCGGACCTAGCCCTGAAAAGTGGCACTGCGTGCTTGAAAGGGTGTGTCCTTAAGACTTCAAAGTCCAAACACTTGGGTTTCCTTCGTTGCCCTGTTCAAATTGCATGCCTTTGCGGGGGGTCCTTTCCCACTTGAGCCACTTGCTCAAAAACCAAGTAGATCAAGGTGAGTAAGGGCCAATCCCAGCCACAAATAGCTGCCTTCTTAATTCTGTACAGTGTTCTGGGTTCAATATGTTAGTACCGGGTTTTGATTGTGGCTCACTGGTGCTTGATTGAAAGGGTCTAAAAATGGGAGAGGTGCTTACTTTATGGGGTCAAAACGGGCCCACTAGTACTCTCCAGTTTACCAAGTGTGATCGCCTTTGGGAGTATGCTCCCAAGTGTTATGGGCTTGCTTCTCTGTGTGTTTGCTTGGTCTCTTGGCTTGGCTGGTGTGGTTCGTTGGTTGGTTGTGTTGTGTTGTGTTGTGCGTGTGACTGTGCTGTGTTGTGCTGTGTTATGTTGTGTTGCGTTGCAATGTGTTGTTTTGTGCTGCTTGCTTGCTTGCTTGCTTGCTTGCTTGCTTGCTTGCTTGCTTGCTTGCTTGCTTGCTTGCTTGCTTGCTTGCTTGCTTGGTTGCTTGCTTGCTTGCTTGCTTGCTTGCTTGCTTGCTTGCTTGCTTGCTTGCTTGCTTGCTTGCTTGCTTGCTTGCTTGCTTGCTTGCTTGCTTGCTTGCTTGCTTTGTTGGCTTGCTTGCTTGCTTTGTTGGCTTGCTTGCTTGCTTGCTTGCTTGCTTGCTTGCTTGCTTGCTTGCTTGCTTGTTTGTTTGTTTGCGTGTTTGGTTGGTTGGCCGGTCGGTTGGCTGGCCGGTCGGTCGGTTGGTTGGTTGGTTGGGTGGCTGGCTGGCTGGCTGGCTGGCTGGTTGGTTCGTTGGTTGGTTGGTTGGTTGGTTTCTTTGTTTGTTTGTCTGCCTGTCTGCCTGTCTGCCTGGTTGTTGTTGTTTGATTGTTTGCTTGCTTGCTTGCTTGCTTGCTTGCTTGCTTGCTTGCTTGCTTGCTTGCTTGCTTGATTGCTTGTGCGTTTGTTTGTGTGCCTGTTTGTGTGTTGGTTTGTGTTTTTCTTTGTTTAGGTGTTGCTTGTTTGCTTGTCTGCTCATTTGCGCTTGTTTGCTTGTGTGCTGTTTGCCTGCGTTGACTTGACATTACCGAAGGCGGTACTTTAACTTGTTGCTGCATGTGTTGCGTCCCAGCATTTGTTGACCGGTGCAAGCTACACAATCCACCATGTGACAATTAGAGCATGTTCAACCAAAGAGCCGCCCAGAGCATATTCTTTGAGAACATATCAGTGGCACAACATTACGTCTTGGAGTGGTCAGTGGGTTTGGGACGTGCGTTTTGTGTACGACTTGCGCGCACAGGTTCGTGGAGTCTGCGATCAGCCAAAGAACCCTCCGCGAGCTGTTCATTCTTTGCGGGGTGAGGATTTTCGCTTGGAACTCACCGCAAGTGGACAGAGGCCATTTTTGCCGGCTAGAAATGCCAGCCCAATCCAGAAAATCATCGGCCAGAGCATGCAATGTGCTTTGCAAGCGAAGGCTGGAAAAGGTGGCAGGTGCGTGAATGTTTGGCAAGAACCTGACCGTGTTTGTGTGGCGCGCGCGCGTGTTGCGTGCGTGTGCGTGTGCGTGTGCGTGTGCGTGTGCGTGTGCGTGTGCGTGTGCGTGTGCGTGTGCGTTTGTGTGTGTGTGTGTGTGTGTGGGTGCGTGCGTGCGTGCGTGGGTGGGTGGGTGGGTGGGTGGGTGGGTGGGTGTGTGTTTCTATGTGTCTATGTGTCTGTGTGTCTGTGTGTCTGTGTCTGTGTGTCTGTGTGTCTGTGTGTCTGTGTGTCTGTGTGTCTGTGTGTCTGTGGGTCTGTGGGTCTGTGGGTCTGTGTGTCTGTGTGTGTCTGTGTGTGTCTGTGTGTGTCTGTGTGTCTGTGCGTGTGTCTGTGCGTGTGTCTGTGTGTGTCTGTGTGTCTGTGTGTGTGTGTGAGTGAATTGTGTCAACATAGCTCGGGCCCGGCTTTGCCCGACATGTGGTGCTTTGAATCAGGGTGACAATCCGTTCTGCTGCCACCCCGATAAAGACATAGATCTTCTCCAGGGGAAAGGGTAACAGCCCTTTGCCAGGCAAAGAACATATCATCGGGCATTCAAGTGGAACAAATTTAATCTTATTTTGAAACACGCCAAAAAGCAGTCAAAGGCTGGAGAGTTGGGAACAGGACTTTCCATTTTGGTTGCTCCCCTGAAACGAACGGCCGTTGTCCGAATTCCAACTCTTTTGCGGGGACCCCATGTATTGGAGGCGTTTGCATGTTGCCACTTGCGCTTGTGGAATTTCATGTTGAGCAATTGCTGACTTAGAGCCATAGGGAAGTCAGTGCAAATCATGGCCGCCTATGAAATTAGATTCAAGCAAGGATTACATTTGCTAGTCACTTTTAGGTTGCTATGGCTTCTTTGTGGCTCCAAGCAGTGTATGAAAGAAGTTGTTCTCTGACCATTGGCTTGAGCAACCCGAGTTGTGATATTTGGGCATCAATGTTGCAGCAAGTCTGAGCGCTTGTGTCGTTGAGGACATTTCAGCTCAGCTCCGGTTTGCTTGCCCTGCGAAATGGATTTGTTTGTTTCAAGGTGCTTCGAGAGAGAGAGAGAGAGAGAGAGAGAGAGAGAGCGACAGAGTGAGAGAGAGAGATCCGGAATGTGGATGTGGGTGTGTAATTTGAAACCACCAGGATATGGACCGCTGGCTTATGTGAGTGTGGTGTCTGGCATCTGGCGTCTCGCGCTTCCCCATGCGTGCGCGAGTGTTATCCAGTTGCCAAGTCAGGCGATTTGCCGCAGGCTGCATCTAGGCATGGAGCTCATTCGCTGGCCGCAGAGTCACGCTTGGAGCCGTCAGTGCATCAGCTTTTTGCAGGGAGCGGGGTGAAAGGTCTTTGCTTTCTTTGCTTTGCCTTGGCAGCTGGCTGCTTTCACCTGGCCAAATTGCCCAAGCGTCTCGAGCTACAAGTTAGAGCGCGAAGCGGGATGTGCTCTGCTTGCGGATGGAGAATGGGCTCCATAAGGCTTTGCAAGGACAAGACTTTTCAGGGTGGAAAGCATGCCCAAGGGCTTTACGGCTTCCATGTTGCCTCGTGATGAAAGCCGCAAAAAACCGCGTTTCGGCATCCTTTGGGTTTCACCGTAAATTCAAGCAGGGGCCCCAAATGGAGACACCCACGTAATTTGATCCATGGGTGAACCCCCGGAATCCGCCGGAATTTGGCTCATAGTGTGCCGCATCCCCCCGCTGATTCTTGGAGGCCACGGGAAGGAATTGCGGTTTTTGATGGGCAGGACGGCTTCAGATGAAGAGCAAGACCTACAAACGAGCAGCTCGAAAAACCCCCCGAGACCATCCCAAGCAAGAGTTGTGTCATAACAAGGGCCCGCGCGTTTGCAACACCCTGCAAGGCGTAAGCCGGCGAAAGCACTTTTGGGGGAAACATGCTGCGTAAGCACCTGCGTAAGCTCTTCTTCGTGATTGCTTGGTAAGCTTTGTAAGCATGCTCGGAAGAGTTGTGCTTATGTGTTTATTGGTGGCTTGTGCTGGTTGCAACCGAGTCGAGCTTGGCAACTTGCCCGTAGACTTTGGCTGCAGGAAGGCGTCTAAGACCGCATGTGCACACCAATAGAAAGCAAAGCCAGCAGAACCTTGATTGGGAGCTCTGGGGGCTCATGCTACGTGCTGTTGCAACCTGCACTAGGACAAAGAAAGGCTTCTGAAGCCGCTGCTCTAGGAAAACTAAAGGGGCTCGGGCGCGAAAGCTCGCGTAAACAGGCGCGTAAGGTTCGCGTAAGCTCGCCTAGCTGGGCTGCCCGCTAGCCCTCGCGATGGATGCCGCTGCCGCAGAACCCGTTTCTTGACTTGCAGCAAGAACAACAATGCCAAGCCGCTGAAACTCGTGAGGGTAGTTCTTCATCATCTTCTTCCCCAGAGTCATCCACATCATCTTGAACAGTTCTGCCGGCAGCATGAGAAAGGAGCTCGTGTAAGCAATTTTTGAGGGGAAACTCTCAAAACACCCACGCGTAAGCCACGCGCAAGCTTAACATGTTCGCTGACTGCCGCGTAAGCTAAAACATGGGTCGCGTAAGGAAAGCGCATGCTCGCGCGTAAGCAACTTGATGCGACATAGGGATTCATGGGAGGTTTATAGAGTCGCTCAAATGGGGGCTGTCTGTTCTTTTGAGGGACCCCCCTTTTGTTTGGTGTTTAGGAAAAAAGGGAAACACACCACCCTGTTGCCGTTTTTTTTTTGTGTGTGTGTGTGAGGGTTCCCCTAAGAATGACACCTAGAAATGTGTGCTGTTTCCTTTGGGGTTCATGTAAGCTGGCCATTCCGCCAATGAAGATTCCTAGTCCACACATATCCATTCATACGACCTGCCTTTCTCTCCACGTGTCCTTTGAAGTCTTCGGTTTTTGCTTTTGACTCTAGGGGTACCTTCCCCATTCTTTCTAGGGACCCTTCTTTCTAGAAAACCTCCAGCATCGGGCAACCGGATCCAGTGTTTTGACAAGAACGATGGTTGAGAAGACTGGAACAGGGGCATCAGCCTCCAGAACTCTTTCTAACCATGTTGGCCCAACCCTGGTCGCAAGATAGAAGAAAAATGCCAAGAGTCGTAGGAAAAAATGCCCTTGGACCTCCCTGCCGTTTGCAGGTTCCTTGCATTCCTTGCGTGCCAATGTCGGGGCCTCTTATCCCCGCGCGGGGAGAGAAGGCCACCATCTGGGGGTCTACTCGAAGACTAGGTCCAGCCAGGTGCCCTTTCTCGCCGTTTCTTTTTGGTTGGGAGGGTTCCAAAAACTACTAAAATAGAGAAAACTGTAAAAACAAGTTGGTGCCAACGTATTCTAACCTCTGTACTGGAGGACCTAGAAAACTATTCTACATAGTTGGGGTCGGGGTAAAGAAAAAATATTGACCAGAACCAAAGAAAGTGTTTTCGGTGTACCGCAGATTTAAGCCAAGATTCAGGACCATATTCATATTGCGGGCCTGGTGATTTTGGGGCGAGTATGGTGAGTTGAGCTGGGTTGAAATGGAGCGTTGGGCTATGCCCTTCCGGCCAGGCGGCATGGCAACCATCACCCGCAAGCAGGCACGACACGCCGTGGGTGCGTTTCTGTGTGGAAAAGAGTCTGTTTTAAATGACTTTGAGGCTTCGGGAGTCACAACGCTTTTAGCTTGACATGTGTTTCGTTTGACGCACATCGTTCCAGCTATGTGTAAGTATGACCCACTGTGACATCCACACTATGTGCAACAAAACCCAAGAAACAAACACATTTGGTTGGGAAAGCGTCAGATTGGTAGGACCCTGCAATGTGCAATGCTTCTGCGGAATTCACTACTATCAGTACTTACATCTTATATTGAAGTAACGCATATAAGTACAACACTTATTCTATATACACATCTAGATACACACACACACACACACACGCACGCATCTCTGTACGCACACCCACGTCCACTTCATCCAGAGGGGCCTGATCAGCTTCTGGAGGGGCACACACTCTTGGCGGCTCCCAGCCGTCCGGATCCTTAGCTTTTTCGACTTAGTGTCTAGTGGTTGGGTCTCCATTTGACCCACTCAAAGTTAGTCACTTTTGGCAGGGGGTCAGAAAACGGGCAGCCCAGCACTGAATTGTCAAGATGCAATCCTTTGGGACACCCAAACCCGACCATCGAGTTGTTGGTGGGGACGTAATTTTAAAATGAAACATGATACAAACTGTCTTAAAATGGTCCAAGCCCAGAACCATGCTTCAAGAATTAAGCAGGCGGACTCACTCAGGGCATCTTTGAAGCCCTCATTGCTCAAACGACGAAGAAGCCCAAAAAAGGGGAGAGAAGGGCACCTAGCTGGGCGCCCCTAGTCTTTGCAACGGTCCCTTAATGATCCGACGTCTTCGCTCAGCTTCGCTCAGCTTCAGGACTTGAGAGTCCATCTCCCATTGGTCGAACAGGTCGATGGCCATGATGCGTTTTGCCACGGCTGAGATCCAAACAAAAAAACTAGTAGAACGCTTGCCGCTTTTGTGTTTTTTAGGCCTTTGTTTGACATCCAGGCTTGCAGGCACCTTTCAGTTGTTCAGTGGCACCATTTTTTCCCCAACTTTTTTTTTTGGGTGGCTGCCCCACTAACAATGGTCTTCCCCAAAAAGGCTTCCAATTCCCTTTTTCCAGGGTCACTGAACAACTGAGTTTCTTAAGCAGCCAGACTTTTGCCAAAAGAAGTTGTCTGAGCCATCTGCGTCTCCGCAGGGATTGGGCCCAGAGGTGGTTGGACCACGCCTCATGAATCAGGATAGGGCCAATTGTTGTTCTGGTTTGGATTCGGAGTTGAACGCGGTGTTTTCAGGTTCTTGTAGGGTTAGGAAGACACACCCACACCATCCCACTGCAAACCACCGGGCCCCAAGTAAATTGTGGAGGTGGGCTCCGCGCACCCCGGCCGGCAGGTGACCCTGGCCGCCCTTGCGCTGGCGGTGACTCTGAAAGCCACTCTAGGCTTCGCAGGCCTTGGGGGCACGGTGAGTCCATTCGTTGGGCGTGCCCAAACGCAGGGTGCTCGTGTTTTTAAGGCATGCTAGGGCAAGCTACCGGAAATCACGAATCTCTTGGTTTGACTGCACTTGTAGGAAGCACTGATAGTTTGTAGCCATGTGTCGCCTCAAAGTTTAAATGCGTGTGATTCATTCGCTCACTTTTTTTGCGGTTAGCGGAATCACTGGCAGGCCAAGTTCACTGGCAATGTTTCGCTGGCCGAAACTGACCAGCCACAGCAAGGGCCCCCCGCTACGGGCACTGGGCATTTGAGAGACAAGTAGGGAACATGTAGCCCGTCGCGTTTTTCGGGCGTGCCATTATGTTGGCTCCGCTTGGTTTTAAAGAAAAACAGAACATCATGCATTTTTGCGGGTTCCCCAAAAAAAGACACACCCAAGTTGGGTGTCATCCGAAGCAAGCCACGGTTCCCAAGTTTCCGCGCTGAGAGGTTCCCATTCCGAGCCCGTGGAAGCAGGAGCTAAGTCTTGCTGGTGCCATAGGTATAGGGAATGACCGAGTCGGGTACTGGGAATGAACCGGCATGCGATTCCGCAAAACGGAAATCATTGGGGATGGTTTATAGGGACACTTTTTCTTAGGGACCCTGACGGCTTGCGAGTATTTGCCAAATGGTTTGCTGCAGCTTGGACTTTTGTTTTTGGGTGTCTCTTGCGAATCTTGGCGAAGGCATGAATCGCCAAAGGCGTTGTATGGCACGCATGTAGCAAAAACAAGTTCCCCAGCATCACTTGTCCAGTGTCTCATTCGATTTGCACGACTCCCTTCAGCGCGACACAGCTCAATACGTGATATGTGTTTGGTAGGTTGATGGGTAATGGCCACTCAAAGTCATCCTTGCCCCTTCATTGCCGGTCACAGTGACTGTCCCCGCTTGAACACCGGCATGAATTGCCCATGCCGTACTTCGGATGTGAAGAATCCACAGTACACGCAACATGGCCCGGACGACTAAATTTTAGCACAGCTATGAAGTAAATCGGCCTCTCATCCACTCTTTCGGCCGATCGCTTTAAAGGGAGTTGTTGTCATTCCTGGTTGACATGCTAGCATCGAACCTCTAGGTTTCCATTTGGAAGCGAAAGCTCTGCAGCCTGTTCGGGCCCCGACCAGGCGGCGTCGTCCGTGCTGGCTTGCGAGGTGAGCGGCCGTGAGCTTTGAACCGGGGGCCCAAGAGTCAGGCCTAGAGTTGATGGGGAACATCAACTCCCAGTGTTGCCGGATAGAGACAAGATATGCATACGTAAGGATTCCCTATGATCATCTCCCACACTCTCTATGTCTCTCTCTCTACCTTGTTTCTTTATGTCTCTCTCTCTCTCTCTCTTTGTGACCATAGGTGGGGCCAGCTCAGAGATTCGCAGCACTAAGCTCGAGCAGAAGGTTGCATCGGCAGCTGGTGGCGTGCGGCCCACTTCGGCCAGCGTAGGGAGAAGGCTGTTGATGCTGCTAGTATCTTCATCAGCGGCCTCGGCAGACGATGAGGTAGTCTTCGATGCGTCGACTTAGACGTTTTTGAGTGGTCCTAGAGTTTGCTGACATCGTATTGGCATGACTTCTGAGCCCTGATTAGTTATTTGTAGTTTTGCACATGTTTGGCGCACTTAGCTGAAACATATTCCTTTCTCTTCGTTCATGTTCTACTTCAGAACGCTCCCAACTGCAATCGGGTCCCTGCCCACTTTGCGACTGGCTCCAAGCCTTCGGCAGAATCTTGGCAATATCACAAGCTGGGTCCGTCAGGTGAGCTTTTCGAGGGTTCTCAAAAGTTTCACCTCGGGATGGTTTCCTTTTAATCAACCATTCGGAGGGTAATTTTTCGGAGGTCATGTTGTTGTCCTTCCCCACGTGCCTAGATCAGGTTTATGTTTCAATGAGATACCTGATTTTGGGGCAATGTGGTCTATGACGCACGGAGCTTTCACCAGGGTGCTTTCAACCACCGATCTTGCCACATGCACATGTCGAGAAGTGTTGGGTTTGCCGACAAAGTGTACGTCTTGACAGGCCCACAAGCCTTTGATGCTTTCCTCCGTGCGGAACTGCATGCAACTGGCGGGCTGCGCTTGCCAACTTCCATTAGTTGATGTGTGTCATCGCTTGTAACTGTAAAAGGTGAATGGTTGTAAAAGCCTTGTCAAGGTTCATACACCAGTGAACGAGCGCAAGGTTGGCGTTTCTGCTTTGCCCAGATCTTCAGACCACGTTGATATGTCATACGAGGTTTGGAGAAAGTATGCACCTAGGGTCAATGGGGGAGAGGTCAGACACTTTGCTAGTTTTCCTAGGGGGCTCCCCCTGAGCTCATGTCCTTTTGGCTAACTGAATGTCCCAGATTGTCCAAATAGACTAGTGTGTGTGTGTGTGTTTGTGTGTGTGTCGACAGGCAGCGTCAATCAACATTTCAGTCTGAGTTTTTGAGATGTGAGCGGCAATTCCAGGCATATTATCATGCTTGGATTATGGTTCAACTGGGGCGGGGGTTACGTCAAAACCTTCAGTTAGAATAATGTTAAAAAGAGCCAATAAACTGCATCGCATTATTATTATTATTAATGGAGACCTCATTGTGTATTCTGGATGCATGTGTGTTGCTACAACATGAGCCAGGAAGACTCACTCCCTCAGTTCGATTTTAAACTTTTTGGGTAGACCAGGTTGGTGCTAAACAGAAAGTTCAGACTTTCTTGTTACCAGTCCACTCAGGAAGTGAGAAGAAGAACACACACACACACATTAAACAAGGGATGCTTTCGATTCGACCTTTTACCTATATAGAAGTTTCAATCCATGGAAACCACATCAGTCTGGTGCCAGAATGTTGGCTGTATTTGGTGATCAATGTGAGCAACTGGAGTAGTCGCCAATCACGCCTAGTGATCGGTGACGTTGAGAAGGAGCCAAAAGGATACGCTGAACTTGTCTCATGATTTTGCCACACCCAAGGTCAACACCCCTCCAGATAACAGCCCACTTGTTTGTATTGATAACCACCATAAACAGTGAAAACAATGGACAACGTTCATGCACGTTGGACCCGTTCTTTCGCTGACAAAACAGAACACGCACCCGGAAACATGCAGGTGTTCCCCATTGATGGGTTTCCTTTTGTTTCCCCTTTAAACACCATTCAACTTGGTGATTCACAGCCATCCCCTTATTTTTGGTTTGTAGGGTTTAAAGGAGATGTTCATTTAACCCATGCACAAGTATTCTTTTAAGGCAAGGGGTCCGAGAAAAAAACATCGACCGCCCAGAGTGAAGTATCCCCAATCGTCCCATCCCAACTTGGAAGTCCAACGCATTTTCTGCTCGGACTCAGCTGCTTGTTTTCGAGTCGCTCGCGCTCGCTGGAAAACGACTCGACAACGCAGGTGCGGAGCCCTCTGCCGGGAAAGCAGCAAGTGCGCAGCCCTCTGCCTTCGAGGCGACTTGGACTCGCAAGGGTGGCATCCTCGGTCCCCCAGCTAGGTGCCCTTCTCTACCAACTTTTTTGGTTGGGAGGGTTCCCCTACTGAAATTGACTACAGAAAAAAGGGTACCCTTACTCTGACCTCTCTACTAGAGGACCTAGAATAGATCTAGAGTACTGTATTCCTTTTGCCTTCTGCAAAAAGCAATCCCGAAGGTTCCCTCAAAAGCGCAAGTGGCTAGCCCCGCTTTGCAGTTCTACTTCCTCGCAAAGTCTCCGCTAGTTCTCGGTATTGGCAAGACAGTTGAGATGCACTGGGGCTCGCCAATCTTACACAATCATAGAAGTCCACTAGTTTAGGAGTGCTGGGCAGACCCCAGCCTTCACAAAACGTATTTGAACGCATCAGAAAACCATGATAATTATAAAACGAGTTCGCTGGACTACCACATGTTGCTTTCTCCAGCAAACGTGACACCCCCGCATTGAGTGTGATCCAGGCAGGACAGAGGACAGAGAAGATAGTCGACATGAACCCTGGGACTTGCCTGTGGGACTTGCCCGGCCTCGAAAGCAAAAAGAAAACATCCCGGCTCCATTGCAATGGGGTCCAAAGCAAGTTTGAAAACAAAATGACCCTGGCGTCATTTGAGGTCTCAGCAAAAGAGACGTTGTTCCACACCCCGCCCCCATTCGCTTGGCCAGTCCGCGTGGCACTTGCCGCAAAAACAAAGGTGTTCTGGGCTGGCGGAAGGTCGTTTTGGGGTCAAACAGATGGCCCTTTTTGTCAATCAACCCAAAGTTGGTGGTTTGGACTGGCTTGGATTTTGCAATTTTTTGGAAGCTTTTGGTTCTTAGAGTTTTGTCTTGGTGGCTTCCAGCCATTCGGTTCCTTAGCTTTTTAGCCTTTTAGTTGGTTTAGTGGTGGTTCCATTGAACCCACAAGTGAGGCACCTTTAGCAGAAAACGGGCAGCCCAGTTGTGGGTAGATACAAACCTGCCCTTTGAGAACCGCCCTGGTTTGGATTGGTTTGGATTAGTTTGGATCTGGATTTGAAGCCCTGGTTCTTAGATTCTTGTGGGGGGGAAAAAAAACAAACAGAAACAAACAAACTAAAAAACAAACGAAACGCCCCACCACCCGCCGCTCCAAAATTATTCGTCTCTCCAGGGGCTGCTGCCGGCCGCGGGGGCGCTGGCGGTGGGCGCTTCCGCCATAGCCGGGGCTCCCGGTTTTGGGCCAAATGCCGAGGGTGTCCTTTTGTTTTTCCCTTTGAAATGCTAAATATAATCCTAATAGTTCGACAAAAAGGGGAAACAATTGAGACAAAAAGTAATATTGAAAGAAAACAACAAATAATAATTACTCCCAAGGAATATGATTTGTTTAAAACCCTTAAAATCGGCAAAGGCAAGGTCAGCCAGAAACTGGCAATGCCATGTGAGCCAAAGAGGGTATAGGGAACTATGCCATGCCTTGTGGGTCAACAAAAAACAACCAAGGCTGCGGGAAAAAGAAGCGCGACACCCCAACGTTGCTTATAGACAAAGGGGTAGACTTAGGATACATTTTACATTTTGCCAGTGACTCAAAGTGAAACAAACAAATATATATATATATATTCTATAACTGGGCCTAATTTTAATCATGAACAGAACCTAAGATAACTACCAGAAAGTAGGTTCTGGAGCATAAGCTCAACCTGTGTATCTTGGGCCAATCTAGCTCTGGAGTGCCAGCGACATGGTGTACTTCGGGGCAGCTCAGGGTTCCGAGCTTCCTGGGGAAGTTCCAAATGAACGTTGGCCAAGGGCACTTCTTTGTGGAGGATTGGCATGGCCCTTCCACAGAAACTACTAGGTGAAAGGCATAGGTGGACCGAATTTCATTGGGGGCATCCCATCAGTTGGCTTTTCGAGCGAGAACTGTTCCAAGAAACCGGAACCACAGAGATCTCAGATTCTGCCTGCATCTCTCCAAAGTCTAGGGGTAGCTTGCCCATTCTTTCCAGGGATCCTTCTACAAAACCTCAAGAATCCCAGTGAAAACGGCAGGCTTTTCAAAAGAACGATTGAACAGAATGGAGAAGGAAAACAACCCCTAGAACTATGTCTTATGAACCAATTGTTCAACAAGGAGTTGGTCCAACCCTAGTTTTGCAAAATCGAAAAAATGCCAAGAATCAATGAAAACGGCAGGTGTTGGAAAAGAACGATTGAAAATAACGACATAGAAATCAACCCCTACTACGTCCCCCAGTAGTGCCCCTCTCTCCCCTTTTTTGGGGGAACATTCCCTACTAAAATAGACTACAGAATAAAGTTGGTATCTTATTCTATACTCTCTAGTGGAGGACCTAGAATAGAACACTGCTCCAATCGAAGGTCCGCCTTCGCTCTCCGCCCGCCCTGCGCTGAGGCACTGCGACGGTCCAGCGCATCCAGCTCCAAGGGATGGAGCCCTGTGGCTCTCAGGGCGACCAGGCGCCGCGTCCGCGCGAGCCATTGGTTTCGTGGGGGAGGGGAGCGGGATGATCTTTCTCCAAGCCGTTTTTCCTTTAGCGGCTTAGCAGCTCAGCAGCTTAGCGGCGTGGGAATGTGGACAGGGAGCGCCTACGGCGCGGGGCGAGCTTTGCTGATGTGATGTGCATGTGTTTGCCGTGCCAGCAGCATTGCCTGTCGGGGAGCTGGAAAATCACAATATTTACTTTGGCATTGTAAACATACTTAGGTACCATAGTTCTACCCCCACCAACAAACATGGAAGTGGACAAAGTTTTTCAAAGGGGTAACTCCCTCTGTCAGCTTCCATGTTAGTCTGAGGGAGTGTAGGGATTGATTCCCCATTCTTTTCAACCATTGTTCTTTTCAAAAACCAACTGTTTCCCAAGGTTTTGGGCGGTTTTTTAGAAAGAAGGATGCCTGGACAGAATGGAATCGGAAGGTACCCCTAGAATACTAGCTGCTGGGCTCATTAGCCATGTTCAAGTTTGCCGGACGAGGGCCCCATGCCTGGCATGGCAGTGTGGATTCGTTCAACTTGTTGGGGCTCTCATGCGACTGCAGCAGCGTGATTCACCTTGATAATTCACTTCACATCAACGTGCCTATATCACAACAACACATGTTGAAACTTGATTTGCTTGCCAGGAATGATTCCGCTTGGAAAACGACTTTCCAGCAATGAAGCCTAACGAGAGCATTCAATCAGATTAGGCATGTCCACAAGCTCACAGTTGAATCATGGTAAGAGAGGGGCTTTGCTAGCGATGACAGTGCCGCAGACTACTGGAGTAGTAAGCGACTGCAATATGATAGCATTGCTGGTCAACATGCCATTTGCAGTACACCGGCGATTCCATTTGTCTTTGCCCTTTGAACGTCAAAATGACTGGTCACCGATCACAATTACTGGCAACTGGGGTTTACTGTACATGATTGCAGTGAGCGTGATACTGTGACTTCAGCAGCAGGTTGGCAACACGTGGGATCTGCATCATACCGATGGACAAGATCCTGCCCCACTAGGTCCCTCGGCTAGGTGCCCTTCTCACCCCTTTGTTGGGATAAAGTTCCCCTACTAAAAGAGACAAAACTGAAAAAAGTTGGTACCTTATTCTAACCTCCCTACTGGAGGTCCTAGCCCAGTTTCGTTATTTCTTGGATCCCAGCTAAGGGGCGCCCTCATGCCTCCCGACGGCAGCATTTTGTCCAGCCGTTGAACCGGTTGAATGGGAGTAGACTGGAGTACCCCAAGTCACCCGGTCAAGGATGGGCCTGAACCATGATCCGCCTTGCTTGACCTGTGAAAAAGTGGTGGGTCGTTTTTCTTTTTTAGGGTGCCCCCTTTTTGGTGGTTTTAAACGGAAGCCAAACGGAACCATTTTGGGGGGTCCCCTAAAAAAGACGCACCCATTTAGTGGAGCGATGCTTGCTGCTACTTCGACGGGCTGTAGCCTTCGGTGGCTATGTAGTTGGCTCTATTCACCGTGTGGCTTGTGTTTTGCATTGTGCACAGCATGTGGCTTTGAGGCCACTTTTTGTGATACAGTGGAAATCCAATCCAAAGTGATACAGTATGAGAATGAGCCACTTACGGAAAGTGTGATTTCTCACACCAACATGGGTATGACATTTCGATAAGGAACCACCTCGAAAGTGGTCGGTGGACATGAACCCCCACCAAATTCTGATTTCTGAACTCCAGGGTCCGGGGCCCATGCAGAATTCCATATCAAATTTGACTTTCCCTTCAACAGCCGTGCAGGGTGGAGTGGTTCCGCAAGGTGAGGCGGATCAGATGCGGCCTCAGAGTGAAGGATCCTTTCACAGGACCCTACTTGGCCTTAGGTGAAACCAGCTCAAATGCCAAGCTTCAATATACCGCTTTCTCAAATGTACTTCATCCTCGGTTTGGCCTATTAGTTCTTATTGGGTATAAAAGCTTTCAACTACTCTCAATCTGCCTCGATGATTGTCAACTTGTCACGCCTGTTCGAAGTGGCCCACATAGCCCGGTTTGCTCAATGCTGTTTGTACCTTCTCCCAGGTGTTGGATGAGGCTTCTCTGGAACATCAACAGAACCGGTGCGGCAATTCGTTTCCCTTTGCCTATGGCAAGGGGATCTGGATGTATTGACGGTGTAGGAATGTAGTTGGCCCTGCCAGGATACGCGGCGCCGTCATGAGAGGTGACTATGAGATGTTCACCCTGGGCCATCGTTGGGAGTCAGCGTTTGATTCACCATGTTGTTGGTCAGCATGGGTTCAGTGCATTGGACTTCACTGCGTTGAGACATTAAGACACACCCCAAGCTTCTTAGAACTGAGCCCCGGTTCCTTCCGAGCGACTTTGTTGCGTCCCTTTGGCACAGATGTGCGGTGGCTAGATCCTAGTCAACCGGCCGCCCCCTTGGGTTTCCTACGGTTTGCCACTCCAAAAAGTCCAACTTGGGCCTGTCCTTTTTGGAGTTGCTACATTGGTTCGCCTTTGTGGTTTTAACGGGACACCAAAAGGAAAACACCCAAAAGGACCACAGCCAACGCTTTTTTGGGGGGTCCCCTCAAAAGAGATCCGTGCCCACCGAGTTCCCTGCCCCGGCCTCCGGGCCGCTGAATGAGGCGGGGACCGAGCAGTCTTCGACGTCACGGTGAAGAAGCCCATGGGCCTTGTGCTGGAGTACCTGCCCGACAAGAAAGGCGACCGGGAAAATCGAAACGTCGAAGCCTAGGTCCGCAATGCTGAAACCTAGGTCCCCCAGCTAGGTGCCCTTCTACCGTTTCATTTTTGGTTGGGAGGGTTCCCCTGCTAAAAAGACAAAACTGAAAAAAAGGCTACCCTAAAGGCGTCTGGCTCCAAGGTCTTTCGCCTTTCTGGGCACCCGGGGCGTGGCGACTCCTCCCCGGAGCGTCACGCGTCTACCAAGGTGGATACCCATCTCCGCCGCCCCGCCTTTGCTCTTGTGGCCGCCACCCCACGCTGCCCCTGCCCTGTGCCTTCTCGGCTTCTGTGCGTGGTTGGGTCTCCGTGTTGTGGCTGCGGCTCTCTGCCATGTTGACGCGTGACCCCTTGGTCTTGCGTGCCTTGGGTTCTCTGTCTGATGGCGCTCTTGGTTCCATTGATGGCTTGATCGAGCAGGGCACCTTCTTTCTGGGTACTGATCCTCTCATGTGGCATGGGCATGCCTTGCTTCAGTTCCGGGTGGATGCCCAGGTGGGGGATTCCACTTGGGAATGCTCCCTCTTCTCTCCTGGCCTCCCTCCTGACCTGCATGCTACCCCGCGTGCTCGGGGCCTGCTCTTTACGTTCGAACTCCGGGCTCCGGCGTTCTTCCAGGCCTTGTTGATGCCGGGTGATCAGCACTTGCGGGCCTGTGGCCCAGGTTGATGAGGACACAATTATCTGGAGGATTGGGGGCCCCCTTCCGGCTGAGCCGCTCTCGGTCACCCACCTGTTTGCTGGTGCTTTTCATGGCTGGGGTCAGGCCCTCGATTGCATCCCATGAGGTCCTGGTGGACAAATCCCCGGTCGTGGTCTCAGTTTAGGCGGCCACCCTGGACATTGAGGCTGTTGCGGCAACTGTGCAGCTGGGTTCCTACCCCAGCGCATGTGGCTGCCTTGGACGGGCTGCCACGTTGCCACTGCTTCTCCTCCTTGCCCCCCTTGGTCTCGGGCCTCCTCACGTGAAGGCCTGGAAGATCCAGCTGGCCTGTGCTTTCTGGAAACCATGTTGTGGGCTCGGCGTGCTGCCCCTCTGGCACTCTTGATGGAATGTGTCGATGCTCTCCCGGCGCATCCTCACAACCCCATCATCCTTGCCTTCATCCGTTGGGCCGGATACAGTGTGCACACCACACTGCTCCATACATGCCGTCTTTGGTCCCTGTACTCGGCGCAGGTGGCTTTCCGTCTTGGTCCGTCATGATGTTGTCCTGCCGCGTTCCCAGCCTATTGGCCTCTTCCAGGACCCTTCTCCGGTCCCTTGGACTCATGAGTCGTTCAGGAAGCCCCGGAAATCGACCATGCTCGACTATTGGATGCCGCTACCCTGCCGTACTACACCAACCCCACCTACCTTGCTGGGCCAGGGCTTGAGAGCTCACGGGAAGTCCTACTGAGCCGCATCCCTTCTCCCGATGCTCCTCTGCGCACACTGTGTGCCAGGTACAGCCAGCAGCACTTGCTTGCTGACCGGGGTCTGTTTGCCCAGCTCACCTACCTTGATGAGCGACCTGCCTTCCTTTCGCCTGCCCAATGGGCCTTGTGGTTGGGAGCCACTCGTCCCCTTGTGCTTGTTCCGCCTCTTGAGGATGTGTTTGCTGGTCTCGGCAATTCCATTTCGGTCCCTCAAGCGGCAATCCCATGGGCTTGGAGGAGCCGTTTCTGGGGCTCCCAGATCCATGCTGCCCTGGTAAGGGGTTGGTACTACATCGGCCCTCTTGGCCCCTTGCTGGATTTCGCTCTTCACCCGCAGGTTGCGCAAAGGGCTAACCTTCAAAGCCCTCCCATTGTGATGCGAGAGGAGACTTATCCTCTCCTCTACTTCCCTTATCGCTTGGGTGCCGCCCGCACGGCCATCTGTTCTCCGGGAGGTTTTCGGGTTGAGGTTACCTACCCCGTTGGTGCCACTGTTGCCCTGGTCCTCTTCACTGCTCGCGTGCCACCTGCTGTGTTCGCCCATGTCGCTCTCTCCTCATTCGCCAGAGTTTGGGATCCCCGTGAGTTGGCTCATGACCTTACTGGCCACATCCTCACTGTTGTGCCTGCTCAGAAACCGGATGATTTGGAGCCACAGCCTGACCCGGTCCCAATGTTCCCACCTCAGGTCACTGTCCACTTCCACGACCCCTTGCGGAGGGAGCATTTCATGCATGTGCGACCCTACATTCAGGGGCGAGGAGTCCCTGACACCGACCCTGTCAGCCGCTGGCAAGATGCGCATCTTTCCCCTGCCTGGAGGTGGAGCTGGCTCACGCTCTCCTGCCCTTGCTGAGCCACCTTCTGAGGATGAGGAAATGGTCCCCGAGGACCCTCTTACCCGATGCGACCCGTGGGCTTCCCCCCCTGGCCTCCCGGGCCCGATGACCCGACAGGACCCCCGACCCCATGCCAAATGGGAGGACCTTTTGCTCCCTTCCTCCCATGCCTTTGGGCTCTTGGGGGATGATGATGTGCCTGCTCTTGTCCCTCGAGGACAGCTTGGTCCTCTGGTGTCTGGCCTTGCGTTCTGCCCTGTCAGTGTCCTTGCTGAGAGCCTCCGCTTACAGGTCGTTGGCCCCACTCTAAGGCTACCTTGCCCTCCCTGCCTTCCCACCTTGCTGTTGAGGGGCCCATGCAAATCAGCGTCTTCGACGTGCAGGCTGAGACCACTTACAAGCGCCAGATCATCCTTGTCCATCTTATTCCCGGTATTGTCTACCGACCTGCCACCGCTGACGCTGTCATTATCGACACCGATGACTTTGTTGAACTCGTTGTTGAGGTCTTCGAAAATCTTGCCACTGACTTCCCAGCCTACCTTGGCCGGTCCTTGGCTGACCTTCGTGGCGTGCTCAAAGGCTTCCTCCCTGAAGGTGCCCTGCAAGGCTCACCTCACGGTCTTGGCCGGGTCTTTCAGATCACCCTGAAAGTCCCGCTGCGCCTTCGCCTTGCTTGTTTGCGCTTGTCCGGCATTGGGTCCCACTTCATTTGGGATTTCTTGGCAAGAGGCAACGAGCCCCTCCTTGACCACTCCATAGTGCACAGATTCTGGCCTCTCACTCTCGAAGGCTCCCGCTCTGCTCTTGCTGTCACTCGTGCTCTCGAGGGCTTTGCCGGCCTTGCCCCTCTCAAGCGTGGCCTTGTGGTGCGCATCTTCAATGCGCACCTTGCGGTCGCCCGCCAGGCTTTGTTGCAGGACGACCCTCGTTCCAGGGTCAACTATCTCGCTGAGGGCCTGCCCTTTGGTGCCACACCCATCTCTGAGGCTGTTCTCAAGGCAGTGCATCCCCCTCTGTTCTTTTCGGAGGAATGGCATCCTGGTTTGGGTTCTTGCTTTTGGCCAGGATCCTCCCTTGCTTGAGTTCCCCCTGCTTTCTGCAGGCCGCTCCTGTGAGGTGCTCCTTGCCTTGGAGCCCCCGGCCCGCCCTCGGACAAGCAAGAGTGGCAGGGCCCATGGACCTCGACACCGTCAAGGCCTTCCGGCACCTGCCCCCACCCTGGGCCCTCCGAGGGCTCAGGACCCATCCAGGCTCGTGTCGATGCCCTTGAGGCACGGGGGCCTGGAGTCCCTGGCCGATAAGGTCGAGACCCAGTTCTTTTCAGGTCTCTGCTCAGCTCTCGCGCATCCTCGGGCAGTCTCCAAGCCAGGCCGCTCCTGCTCCCCTGAGCCGGCCCCTGCTTTCAAGGCCGCCCGTCTGGGCGCCCTGGCCCGTCTGGTTCTCCACAGTCCCCCCTGTGTCTGGGGGGCCTGTGCACTTGGTTCTTCCAAAGAGGAGATTTCCTCCTTTGCCCTTATGCCCCATGGCTTTGCCATGGATACGGGGCCTTGTGTGGTTCAGCTCCTCTTTTCCTTTTGTGCTTTGGCGCAGCGCTACGGACGCTAGTGGGCACCTGCGGTGGGGCCGCTACGTTCCCCTTGCCTCCCTGCGCTGTGATGCCTACCCTGAGCTCCTTTTCCTGTTCAGATGGGCGAATCCTGTCCTCTTTACTCAGTTTTGCTTTGATTCTACCCTAGGCTTTCCTGGCGAAGGGCCTCTCACTTTTCTTTCGCACAATGTCGGCTCCTTCTTGGCGCACCCTGACTTGCTTGACTGCCCTGCCCAGGTTCTTTTCTTACAGGAGGCCCGCCTGTCGGCGGATAACATTCGCACTGCTCGCTTTCGGGCCTAGGAGGTTGGCCGCCAGCTCACCCCCGGTCCCCTACTTCCCATCAAGGCTGATATTAACGGTGTCCGCCGGGTTGAGTGGGGCGGCCTTGCTGTCCTGTCTCAAGCGTGTGTCGTCTACGACTTCGATGTCACTATGGATGTTTCTGGCCACCTTGATCCTTTGCTGGCTACCGGCCGTGTGCAGGCTTCTTGGGCTGTCTTTGGAAGGCTCCGCTTTCTTCTCATCAACTTCTACGGGATTTCTGGGGCCTCCTCTGATGAGACCACCCACCAGCACAATGATGAGCTGCTGGCCAGGATCCTGGATTTCGCTGCGTTCAGGATGTCTCTGTCGTCTTTGCTGGCGACTTCCAAGCTGACCCTCTTTCCTACGCCTCACTCGTTGATGCTTGCCGCACTGAGGTTTGGGTCGACCCTCTTGCTTCTGTCTCTCCTGATGTGGACCGTGCCTTCACTTTCTGCCGTGACAAGACCTGGCCCCCAGAAGCCCCTGCCACTGCTATTGACACGGTTCTTCTCAGCGAGCATGCGCTCCATCTCCTGGAGCAGGCCACGGTGGTCCCTCTTTGTGGTTACCAGCATGCCTCTGTCTCCCTTACGTTTGCTGCCCCCACTGAGACTCCACGCGCCGTTGCCTTTGCGTCCTTTGCCCCTCTGGACCTTGCTGGCTTGGCTCCTCCTGCCCAGGTTTCGCAGCGTGCTGAGGATCTGTGGCAGCACACTTATGGTCATGCCCGTGGGGCCGTGGTTCCCGCATCCGCGGCTCCCTCCCGCCCATCCGTCCCAAGCGTTCTCCTCTTGCGGCCCTGCCACCTTCGCATCCCATCACT